CCGCGCCGTTGTTGCTGGAATGGTGTTGTGTGTCGAAGGAGTGGTCACTACCGCTGTCGCCACCGGTACCATCATCGCCGCCGACATCATCGGCGCCGGCACCAATGCCGCCGACCTCCTCGTCCCTCATTATATCAAGCAGGATTTCCGCCATCTTCGGAGGACCTGATGACCCAGCCCCTGTGGCGGCCCTCGCCGGAGGGGGAGATGGATCATGGGTGTGTAGCGCCGACGGAATGCCAGAGATGCCTGGGAGAATTCCGCGCGCGCTCGAACCCTCGCCGGCAGCGGCGCCAAGATGGCCCTCCTTTCTGTATCTGGCTGGGGTAGCAGCCATCCGGCGACCAGTAGCCCGTCCCTTTGTGCTGTCTGCCATGGTGTCTTGGTTGTGGAGGTGTTGACGGCGAAGGTGTTGAGTATGTGTGTGTGTTGTGCTCGTTGGCACCAGGCAAGCGGCGAGATAATATTGAAAATTTGGAAGACCAGCTGCAGCACGTATAAAATGAAGATGTTGGTTCCAAATATTTGGATCCAAATTTGTACAAAATTTGTACAAAACTTTTTCATGTATGAAACGGGCCTTGTGTGCTTGATTGATGTCAAGGGCGAGTCTGTGTGTGCTGGTCCTGCCTCTCCCCTCCACCCTCGTTGCGGGCGCTCGCCGCCAGCACAGCACCACACACTGGCACGTGCTATGCATGTCAACCATGCTGGATTGCTCTCGCTTTCACAGCGTGACCCGTGCGTTTCGCATATAGACTGCAGCAAGCAGTCACTCGTCCACGAGGTATCGTTCGCGCGTCTGCATGTTTCCCAACGGAACAAATGTGCTGGGATATGTGTTGCCCGGCCATTGTTGACTTAGAGAGGAATAGTTGACGGTTGGTGTTGTTTCGGAGGGGCGGAAACTGATTCCTGCCCCGTTGCCATGGATGTTATTCGGAGGGAAGAGTGGCCGTTTGGTATCTCGTGGTTGGAAAAAGGAATTGGGAAGATTCCTGCGGGGGAAATGATTAGTTTGTTGTTGTTGTTGTTGTTTCTCACATTAGCTCTAAAAAAAAAAAAGGATTGGGAGCCCGTGGTCTCAAAACCCGGCATACACGACCCCACGAAGAAACAGAAAAAAATAGGGTACAAAAACCACTCGGAAGAGAAACAAAATGATAGAAAGAAAGACCAGCTACCGCACCAAACGAGAAAGAGCGTCGAGGAGACCGATCAAAATAAAATAAAAGGAGAACGGGGAACGCTTCCCACACCCGCCTACAACGCCGGAGGGTTCCGTGCCGGGTTCCCGCCGACCAGGCATCCCCCGCCCTGCACCACACCCCAGGGGGTGCAGCAAGACGGGGGGCGAAAAACAAACACATATATATTTCCACAAAAAAAAAAAAATAAAAAATCGAAGGACAACGTACACCAGTACCAGGTACTACAGCAGTGCAGTATGCACCAGCGCATTAGTGTAGGGTAGGCACCGCACCAAAGAGGCAGCAGAGGTGGCAGGCAGCCAGCAAAGGAAAAAACAAAAATAACAAGGAGCTCGAGGTATCGTCCAAGATCATCGTAGAGAGGGCATGGAGAACAAGAAAGAAAGAAAGAAGAAAAGCACAAAGAGAGGCCGGAGGCAATACTAAGAGCATACAGCTTACGGCAGGGAAAAGGGAACACAGGGTGCGACAACATCATCAGTTGGGTACGTCGTTCGCCGCAAGCGCGGCCTTGGCCGCCCTACTCGCTTCTACAGCAGTGTCCGGTCGCCGTTTCTTCCCCCCCCCCGCCGCTTCCCCGATTCTCTTTCTCTTCGGGCCCGGGGCGGCCGTACTCTCCGTCTCTGCTTCCTCCGCGCGCTGGCGCTGGCGCTTCGCGGATGCTTCCGCCTCCTGTCTGTGCCATTTCCTCATGAACCATGCCGCCCCGTCCTCGATCTTGTCGTACCACGCCTCCTGGTCCTTGGCGCTCTCTTTCCATCTCCCCCCCTCCTTCTCCTCTTTCATGCCAAACGCCACGAGGTCCTCTCCTAGGCGATACACCCAGTCGCTCTCCTGCCCGCCCCGGTATCCGGTACCCCCCGCCATCGCTCCCAGCAGCATGCGCTTGGGGAGGCGGTTGTCCTCCATGCGCATAACGAAGCCCGCAAAACACAGCCTCCGTTTGCGCACGGTGGCCTCGATGGTTTCCTCGCAGCCTGCCTGGATGAGGGCCTGGGCATAGGACAGGGGGCGGTCTGAGCGTTTCCGCTTGCTCCAGCCGATGCACCGTGTGAGGAACTGGCGGTGGGTCCCATTGAGCTTCGTGTAGTGCTCCGCTGTTAGGCTCCACGAGGCGCACCCATACAGGAGAGTCTCCACCACTTCAGCCTGGAGAAGCCGGATCTTGAGCTGGCGGTCGGCCCGTCGCCTGTCGTACATCGAAGCACTGTTCCGGCGGTAGCACTTCCACGCTCGGCAGCTGCGGCTCGTGATCTCCCGGTCGGCCTTCCCGTCCGCGGAGATGGTACGTCCGAGGTACACAAACCGATCTGTCTGCTTGTACGTCTGGCCGGCGGCGCTGACCGTGAACGGGCGTTCCTCGATCCCTTTCGGCAGCATGCACATGATCTCCGTCTTTGGCTCCGACACCATCAGTCCGAACAGGCCGGCCACGCGCACGATGATGGACATCATCTTTTCGAGGCTCTCCGGCGTGAGCGAGACGATGGCCGCGTCGTCAGCGTAGAGCATGTCCCACAGGGCCTCTGCGACCGTCACCATCATCGCCTTCTTCCCCGCCGACCTGCCCCTCTTGCCCGTGCACTCCACTCGTGTTGCGATCTTGATCATATCCGCCGTCACCTTGGGGTCCTTGTCGAACTCGGTCACTGCGACCATGCGCATCGCGGCAGAGAACAAGTTGAACAGCAGCGGGGCCAGGTTGCACCCCTGTCGGAGACCTTGGCCGACGTCAAACCATTCCGAGTACTGCCCGTCGTCCGTTCGAACCCGCGCCCTCATGCCCTCGTGGAAGTGGCGAATGACCGCCAGCATCTTCGGGGGCACGCCAAAGCGTCCGAGCACGTCCCACAGCAGATCTCGGTCCACCGAATCGTACGCCTTGGTGAGATCGACGAAGCACGCGAAGACCGCAGTACTCTTCTTCCTCGCGAGCTCATGGAGCCGCTGGATCGCGAACAGCATGTCGAGCGTCGACCGGTGTGGGCGGAAACCGCTCTGCTCCTCCGGGAGGATGCCCTCTCGCTCGCAGTAGTGGCTTAGGCGTGTTGCAACGACCTTAAGCAGCACCTTGCCGGCGTGTGCAACGAGAGAGATGCCCCGGTAGTTGCCGCACTCCATCGTGTCCCCCTTCTTGAACAGAACCTTGATGGTGGCGTCCTTCCACTGCTGCGGTACGTTCCCCGTCTGCCACACGTCCACGACGATGGCGTGGAATTCGCGGAGGAAGCCTCGGTCTCCATCCAGGAACAGCTTGATCAGCTCAGCCGGTAGGTCGTCCGGCCCGACGGCCTTCCTGTTGGCCATTCCCCGCACCGCCTCCTCAACCTCGAATAGAGACGGGATGTCGTCGAGCGGAACGCACGTGGGCCACTGCTTGACTCTGTCGGTCGCATGCAGGTCGATGGTCGGCGACTTGGTGTTAAGGAGCTTGTGGAACCACCGCGCCCACCGCTGGCGGGTAAGCGTGGGGTCCCGAAGGACCTTACCGTCCTCGTCCTTGATGTTCTGGGAGGTAAGTGGCCTCTTACCTTCGACGTCGATCATCTTCAGGTGCCTGTAGAAACCCGCCTGGTCCCCCTCACGGCTCTTCTTCTCGAGCTGCCTCACATAGCCCTCGAAGAACTTTTCCAGTGCTCTCCACCTCGCGCTGCTGCGTTTCTTCCGCGCCGCCTTGAGCTTCGCCTTCAGGGTCGTCTCTAAGTCGCTGTTCTTTGAGGCCCCGCGCAGCTGCTGTTGGGCCACTCTTATCTCCCTAGACGCTTCGGAAATCTCGTGCTGCGCTTCGCTCGTGTACCATCCTCCCTTCCCTCGTGCGCTCCTCGCCAGCGGCGCGATCTCCGCAGCGGCCGACATCACCACAGCGGTGAGCTCGGCGGCGGTCTCTCCCGTTGGCCTGCTGAGGGCCGTGGGCGGAGGGCGGTTGAGAGCCCTGTCTTGGAAGACGGCCCGTAGGTGCACATCCTTCCTCAACCGTTCGAGGTCGATACGGATCCGGCTGCTTCCGCTGTTTCCCCGCGTTCGTCGGTTGGGTGCGACACGGGGGGGGGAGCGGACAGTCGTATGAAAGGGTCTAATTTCCCGCCCGACAGGTCAGGGTACATTTCCGAAAACAGGGTGCAGTTGTTGAGAAAAGTAGTCACGGCAGGGTATACCCTGCGCCTTTTCGGACGCACCGGGGTGAAATTCGGCGTTGACCGATGATATGAGTGCATTCACCGCTGTTGATGACTGTGTACCCAGGTGTGTCGCCTTTCGACCAGGGTACACCCTGTTGTGTCGTTTTCCCATATTTTTACGATGTGTAAGTGACAGTAGAAATAAGTCCTACAACCATCACCCACACATGTTGCGCATCAGTCGTATCCAGCGAATACGAAAACGAAATCGTATTTTCTCGACCACGACGCCGAAATGTTGCAAATCAGTCGTATCCAGCCAATACGAACACGAAAAAATCGTATTTTCTCTACCAACCACGACCCACATATATGTTGCGCATCAGTCGTACCCAGCGAATACGAAACGTATTTTCTCAACCGACCCTCACCCGCGTTTTTTTTTTTTTTCCTCTCATCATTGGACCCTGTCGTCTGCCCCTCTGGCCCCTCCACTTCTACAGACGACCCAACCGGGGTCACATAGGAGGGGCGGGGTTGGACCCCCTCCTGCGGTTCCTGCCTGAGGTATTTTTATCCGCGAGAAGGGTACAGCAATCCCTTCCCTCGCGACTTACGAAGTCGATTATGGTTTACTAACAACGAGCTTTGCAACGCGTCGCTTTCATCCTAGACCAGGATTTATTTAGTGAGAAAAAACTCACTCTGTCGGGACTCGAACCCATGACCTGGCCCGGCTGTGAGGCAACGCCCTAGACCACCGGGGCGACTGGTTGTAGTTATAGTATTTGTTGAATGGCTGAAGTAGCGTGCGTGTCCAAGTCAGGGGCACCAAACGTACCCTGACTGTCAAATGTCCGTTTCTCCGTCACCATGCATGGCAGACTCGACAAGGTGAGTGACTACAATCAATGTGAAATCGCTTTGCGCATGCGCGCATGCCGACGCCGCGCATTTGTAGGAGCGGAGGCTGAGGTCTCCATAGCTATACATCAGGCGAAGCTGCTTCCAGATGGAGCTGAAGTGACGTCACAGGCTGCAGAATATTTCAGCGTCATCCGCGATCTCGCTGATGGGATGCTCGAACGGATTACGTCGCGGATGAAGGTATGCGACACCAACCCTCCTCAAGCGTGTAGGTAGCCTAAGGAAAGCACCAGTCAGTCAGTCGCCGCAAACTAACAACCAAGAAGTAGAAAGTGGTTCAGACGCAACGGTGTGGTTGGGTTGCCTTCCTAATGATCCTGCTGTTTTCCCAGCAAGCAAGCTCCGCTGTTTGAAACTGAACCACTGGTGGGACAATCCCGATCTCCTTCATCCGCCATGCAGTGGGCTGCAAACACCGAACGCTCTCATTTTCTCGGTCTACTCTTTTGGCCACAGCAAGCGCGCTGACATGTCCGAATTGCACCATGTAGTCGGTGTACATTTGTTGTCGTTTTTCCATTGAAAATTCTGAGGCAAACACGGAACAAACGTATTACGAGATGTTAACCGCTGGAAGCGACTCAGTTATGGTTATCGCTGCTCTATCTGGAGGCTATTTTCTGAGGAGGTTGGCACTTACACAGATTCCGAACTATTCAACACTGGGGTGGCGAGCGGCATCGCCTTCAGAGTGCCACAGGCGCAAGGGAAAAACAGGTCGGTCCGAGAATTTGAAGTTGTTGTTGTTGTTGTTGTCTTCACATTTAAAACCATCCCGGTCTCTCTATCCAGTACCTCCTTCTGTCTCAATCTCTCCGTACTAATCCAGCACTTGACTCGGTCAATTTCCGTGGTCACAGGCTAACGTACCTAGGAAAGGTATACCAAAATAAAATGGACCCGAAGGGGTAGCAGACAGTCTGAACGCGACAGCAAACGGGGGAGAGGGCAACAGAAAAACTAGTCGCTGAAATTCAACC